GGGTACAAAGATGGAATTTCCTGCAGCTCTCTGATCGGAAGAGCACACGTCTGAACTCTCGAAAGCGCAAGGTCCCAAGTTCGATCCCTTGTTACAAAAAAAAAAAAAAAAAAACAAAGTAGAAGCCACTGGGCCTTCAGCCTTTATATGAAAGTCACAGGTCTAAGTTATTTCAACCATTTCCACATTTTTCTAGTAATCTCGTGAGGTCTGTTTTTTGTTTGTTTTGCTTTCTCTTAATTTTTTTTTTTATTGTTACCGGGGATTGAACTCGGGTCCTTGTGCTTTTGAGGCTGGCAGCAGAACCACTGAGCTAAATCCCCAGCCCTCTCTTAAATTTTTTATTGGCACATTTTAGGTATACAATATATTTACATTCATCATTTGGAACTTGTATCTTTACATGATGTATGTTGGTTCTTATTTTTTCCCCATTCCCCTGCCCTCCCTTCAACCCCTCCACCCCTCCCTATTTGCAAAGGCTTTGTTTCCATTTATTTCTTTTTTTTTTTGGTACCAGGGATCAAACTCGGGTCCTTACGCTTGCGAGGCAGGCATCGGAACCACTGAGCTAAATCCCCAGCCCTCTATTTATTTCTTATCTCATAATTTTTCCTTTCCCTTTTTTCCTTTCTCCTACCCCTCCCACTTCCCCTACCCCTTTGGACCTTTGCTTTCTATTTCACATTATCAATTACTCATTTTAATCCTTATTTACACTTTCAGTTTCTCATACCAGAGAAACTATTTGGTATTTACACATGTCCTATTTATTTCACTTAAGAGTATGTCCTCAATGTGCATCCATTTAGCCATAAATGGCTCTAATTTCTCATTCTTTATGGCTGAGTAGTACTCCATTTTATTTTAAAAAACGCATTTTCTTTCTCTAGTCTCCAGTTGATGGGCAATTGGGCTGTTTCCAAGCTTTAGCTGTTACAATCTGTGCTGCTATAAACATGGGTGCACATATATCACTGTGGTGTGATTCTTTTCATTCTTTTGGGAAGATCCCCAGCAGAGGAATAGCTGGGTCAAATGGGACCACATGAGGGCTGTTTTTGAAACCCTATTCCCTCTTGCCACTTCTAAAGCAATTACTGTTCTGATTTTTATTAAAGATCAGTTTTGCATATGCTAGAACTGCATATAAATGGAATCATACTGTATTACTCATTTCTGGTTTCTTTCAGCATTTTTTGAGATCAATGTTGCATACATTAATAATCATTCCTTTTAATTATTAAGTGATAGTCCATTGCATGAATATACAGCTTACCTATTCTCCTTTTTTTTTCTTTTTTATGGTACTGGGGATTGAACTTGGGGCATTCTACCACTGAGATACATCCTCAGCCCTTTAATCTTTTTAAAATTTTGATGTAGGGTCTCCCTGCATTGCCCAATCTGGCCTCTAACTTGCAGCCTCCTGCCTTGGCTTCTAGAGTAGCTGAGATTACAGGTGTGTACTATCAAGCCAGCTGATTGTTTAACTTTTTGTTTGTTTGTTTGCTTAACTTTTAAAGAAATGATCACAGGGCTGGGGATTTAGCTCAGTGGTTCCGCAGCCTGCTTCGCAAGCGCAAGGACCTGAGTTCGATCCCCAGTACCAAAAAAAACTCAGGGAGGAAGAAATGGTCACAGAGTTTTCCAAGGTGGTTTGTGTCATTTTATACTTCCATTGTTATATGACAATTCTGATTGCTTCACATGTTTGCAGACATTTGGCATTGTTAGTCTCACTCATTTTGACTATTGTAGTGGGTCTAGCAGGGCATCATTTTTTTTTTTTTT